TTCTTTCTTTCTTTCTTTCTTTCTTTCTTTCTTTCTTTCTTTCTTTCCTCTCCCATTATTTTGCAATTGTTGCATTCCGCCTCCCTTGGGCTGGCCGGAACCCTTCGGCTTTGCAAACCCAGCAAAATTAAAACCCCTTTGAGACGGCCAAGCCACAGGTTCCAGATTGCAACACGCTTCCCGCTCCCCGTGCCCCGTGGAGCCAGAGGAGACCCCCCAAAAAAGAACAAGACCCCAAACCACAAAAACCACCAGGGACCCAACATTTCTCTTCCTTTTTTTTTTTTCCCCTTTTCTTGCAGAGGTAGCAGAAAAGGCCCCAAGAAACATCCCCCTCCCCACCTTATCCCACTCGTGAGAAAAGTGGATGTGAAACTGCTGGCAGGGCAGAGGAAGGATTTGGGAAGAGGAAGGGGGGGGGTGTCACCCCACGGAAAGGAGAAGCTGAGGCCAGTTTCCTTGTGGTGGCCAACACAACAAGGAGGGAGGGGTGTGTGTGTCAGCAGCCTGAAACCCAGAGGTGTGTGTGTGTGTTTGTGTGTGTGCGCGCACGCATGTCCTAGCCAGGAAATTCTCTTTTGACGGTACTGGACGGAGAGACGACGTGGTGTGTGTGTCAGCTTAGCTCTTGCTAGATCGAAGGGCCAGGTAAGAAAATAGCTTTTGGGGAGACCTTTTTACTGTGGCTATCAGCCCATTTGCAAAGGGGTGTGTGTGTGTGTGTGTGGTTGTCAGTGGTGAATCCTAGATTCTTGGGGTCCATAAAAGGGCCCACATCCCGTTGTCCCAAGGGTGCTTTTTCCAAAAAAGGCAACTGAACTTTCTTGTTTTCTTTCTTTTTAGAAATAGATAGATAGATAGATAGATAGATAGATAGATAGATAGATAGATAGATAGATAGATAGATATAGAAATAGATAGATTAGATAGATCATAGAGATAGAGATAGACAGAAAGATGATAGATTAGATAGAGAGAGAAAGAGAGAGAGAGACAGAGACAGATAGAAATAGATGATAGATTGAATAGAGAGAGAAAGAGAGAGAGAGAGACAGAGACAGATAGAAATAGATGATAGATTAGATAGATCATAGAGACAGATAGTG